TGCAAAGAAGACTTCCTTCCCAGAGGTCCTCTAGCAGCTGGACCTCAGGGAATCATCTCTAGGGAGGGCCAGCTGGGGAAGAGTCCTTCTGAAGGGTCACTGGTTCCAGAAAATCCTGCAAACATTCCTCCAGGTTTTAGATCCCTCGTCTGGCTGAATTCTGAGACTGTGAGTGGGGAAGGGGGGAATCAGTCAATTTGATCAGGAGTGCGATTGCCAAAGAGGCCAGGAGGCCCCAGGGACCAGAACACAGGTAAGTCCCCTCCTCTCTCTGCCGCACCAATGTCATGGCCAGCTGCTTGTGGCCTCAGATGCCATCTCGGGGAGAAGACAGGGGAGCCGCTAAGCTTGAAAGTCTTTGTGTGCATCTGTAAAGAGCATCTTAGAGAAGAAGCTGTGAGGGTAGTGTTCCTTGAGACCCTGCGGACAGGTAAGTTTAATTCCATTAGGTCTCACCCCATCCTTCAACCCCACCACCCAGCAGGTGGAGGTCTATTAGGAAGATAAGATTAGTTCCGGAAAATAAAGAAGCATCATTTTCTTTGTGTGTCTGAGTGTGGGGAGCCGGTGAGGACCTGTGCTATACTTCTATTGGATGTACACAAGGTGCTTGGCGTTCTGTAGAGAATGCAGTTTAATCCTTACTCCATCCCTCAGGTGTGAATTATTATCTCTGTGTTACAGCCAGGAAACTCAGCGTTAATAGTTTGCCTGGAGTCACCACATTCTTGGGGTTCAGGCTGAGCTGCTGCAGGAAGGGGACTCTGATCAAGTGGCTTCTAGACAACAGAACTTCCTTTCCTTTCTCTCCCACACACTGCCTGGGACTGAGCCAGCCTGTGCTTTCCCCAAACCTTTGATTTCACGGTTGTCACTCCCAAGCCATCTGGGAGGGGGAGAGCAAGAAGAAGGTCTGGGGCAGATGACCCCAGTGCTGCAGGTACCAAGTCTGCTCACAGCCCACTGGCCACGTTTGTTTTCATGGTTCTGGAGGCTTCAAGTCCCAGATGAGGGTGCCTGGAGACTTGGTGTCCGGTGAGAGCCTACTTTGTCATTGTTGTTCAGTCACTATGTCGTGTCTGACTCTCTGCGACCCCATGGACCATAGCCCACCAGACTCCTCTGTCCATGGGATTTTCCGAGGCAAGAATACTGGAGTGGGTTGCCATTTCCTTCTCCAAAGGATCTTCCTGACCCAGGGATTGAACCCATGTCTCCTGCCTGGTGGGTGGATTCTTTATTATTGAGCTACTAGAGAAGCCTGAGACCCTGCTTCCTGGACAGCTTCTCCCTGCATTCTCGCGTGGCAGAGAGAGAGCAAGGTCTGGTCTCTTCCTCTTATACAGGCACTAATCCCATCACAGGACCCCATTACCCGACAGACTCATCTAAGCCTAATCACCTCCCAAAGGCCCCATGTCCTCACCCCCATCACTTTGGGGGTTAGAACACCAACATGTGAAAGGTAGGGGGACTTAGACATTCTATAAATAACACATGTGGCCTGGGGAGTTGATCTGTGTGTAGAAAATCATTTGCGGGGGTTTGTTCAAAAGGAGAATGAGCCCTGGTTATTAGCAGTCCCTGCTCTCAGCCCCTTCCTCTGTTTCCGGTCTCTGTGGGTGTAACTGAGCGGGGCCCCATGGCGCCTTGGTGGGAGTTAGACGGGTGTGGGGGCAGGCCTTTCCCCCCACATCCTTTGATTTAGTTCTTCTCTGAAGGACCTAGATAATGGTATTTGATGCATAGTTCCTGAGATGTGTTGCAGATATATAAAACCTCCCCTTCTCCAACAAACGGAAGACATCAACTACTTAATGACCCTGAGCACTCAGCCCAGGCCCCCAGAGCCTAAGGACTGATAAAGTTAATGTTTGTGATGCCACCCTGTTACCTCAGCATCAGCCAATCAGAGAATTGTGCATGAGCTGATCACACACCTGAGGACCTCCTCCCTCACCTGGCCTTTAAATGTGCTTTGCCGAAACCCTTCAGAGATCTTCTGGCTTTTCAGGGCAGGAGCTGCCTGTCTCCTTGCAGGGCCCTGCAATAAACCTTCCTCTGCTCCATACTTGAACATTTTAGTTTGTTTAGCCTCTCCTGCGTGTTAGGTGCATGAACTTGCGTTAACCTGGGGACAGTCTCCCGACTCTGGCCGTCTCCGCACCATCACTTCTCCACAGGGGAGACCCATGGTCCTTTGTGCATCCAGCTCTGGTCCATGACCTTGTGTTTTGCTCTCTGCCCTCTCTCAGGTTCAGTTTGGGACCTGGTGGTCTGTTAACTCAAAGACGAGTATCTTATCTTCTTTGACACGTACCCCTTGAGAAGCAGCAGAGGAAATCTACAAGAGCAGCTGCTATTCAGAAAGGGGTGGATGATATCACAGCAGACAGAGGTGTCCAGTGGTTCACTCTGAAACCTGTCTGAGCAGTAATCATCGCAAAGACTCCCCACCCTGGGATCAGGGTGAGCTCCCTGGTTACCACACTCAGGAGCATCCCCCTGTTTACTACCTCCTGGCCCAGACTGTCCCTGGGAGGTCCTCTTTGCCCTGTATCCTTCAAGGTCCTGTGATATGTGTGGGTGGTGGTTTCCTGAGTGGGTAATGCACAGCTTCTGCATGCTGCTTCTCCAGATTTGAAAGCCTGGAGCCCCAGCACAGGCTTCTGTAGGCCCAGCTTGGGGCATGTTTTTAGCGATATCATCCCTTCAAAACCAAATTGCTTCCAGCCTCCCTACTCCATGTGAGGGCAACCATCTCCCCAAGTCTCTGGATCTTAGGCAAGCCAGGTCCCTGCTTTGGTTCCCTGGCATCCATGGTTGAGCTGATGGATCCCTTTGTACTAGTTTCCTGGAGTGGCTGAATGAATTCCTGCAAATGAAGTGGCTTAAAGTAACAGAAGATTATTCTTTCACAGGTGTCCAGAAATCCAAAATCATGGTGTTGGCAGGGAGGGCCACGTTCCCTCCAGAAGGCTCAAGGGCAGGTCTGCTCCTGCCTCATCCCAACCTCTCAAGGTCCTCACTGTCCTCCACAATCCTCGGCTTGTGACAGCATCAGTTCAGTCTCTGCCCCCATCTGTTCTTCCCTGTGTGTCTCTGGGTCTAAATTACCTTCCTTATATAAGACACCAGTCACGGTGGATTTAGGGCCATCTTAACTGAGGATGACCTCATCTTAACTTGATCACATCTGCTGAGACCCTTTTTATAAATAAGGTCATTCAAAGGTAACAGGTGGACCTGAATTTGGGGGGCGTTATTTAAGACAGTGGGATTGCCCTGGTGACTCAGCGGTAAAGATTCTACCTACAAATGCAGGAGGTATGGGTTCCATTCCTGGGTCAGGAAGATCCCCTGGAGAAAGAAATGGCAACCCACTCCAGCATTCTTGCCTAGAGAACCCCCTGGACCATAGAACCTGGCAGGCTACAGTCGATGGGCTTGTAAAAGAATCAGACATAACTTAGTGACTAACAACAATGAATCATCCAGAGTAGGTAAGCTGTAGAGACAGAGAGTGGATTGGTGGTGACCAGGGGCTGGGGGAAGAAGGGATTGGAAGTGATCACTTAATGAGTAAGGGTTTTCTTTTGGGACAGTGCAAGATCTTGGCATGAGATAAAGGTGATGGCTGCACTATACTGGGAATGCACCAAATGCCACTGAATTGGACCTTTCAAAGTAATTTACTGTTAATTTTATGTTGTGTGAATTTTACCTCTATTTTAAAAATAAAGAAATATGCACTTGCAATTTAGGGAGAAAGTTGTGTCTCTTTTTCTGAGTTGAGCCAGTTCTGGGACAGGCTCACAGTCAAACATAAACTCCTCCCCCAGGGATGCAAAGAAAGACTGATTCCGGAGGCTTGGTTCAAAGGATGAGGTCATTTTGCACAAAGAGTCAGACACAACTTAGTGACTCAACAACAGACAATAACAATTTAAGACGGCACATCCTTTTTCTGTTTTATCAGGGTTACCCAAGGCCTTCTGAGAAAGAGGGTCCTATAGAAAAGAAGTATTCATGGTTTGAGCTTTGCATCTGGGATAGCAGTATGATGCTCTCCCCAGCCTGCCTCTGTGTTATTTTCTCTATCTGTCTGTCTCTGTGTCCTGATGTCCCTCTTTGTGTAAGGACATGAGACAGGCTAGGATTCAGCCTCTTTTTAACCTTAATACCTCTGTAAAACCCTCCAGCTTCCCAGTGGTACTGGTGGTAAAGAATCCGCCTGCCAGTACATAACAGACACAGGTTTGATCCCTGGGTGGGGAAGATCCCCTGTCGGAGGGCATGGCAACCCACTCCAGTGTTTTAGCCTGGAGAATCCCATGGACAGAAGAGCCTGGTGGGCTATTCTCCATAGGGTCACAAAGAATTGGACATGACTGAAGTGGCTTAGCATGCTTGCAAAGCCCTCATCTCCAAATACAGAAACATTGGGATGTCAACATGATTTTTTTGAGGGGAGGTGGTACTCAAGGCAGTCCATGACAGACATGTTTGTAGTTTGTAGCCTCACATGTCTTCGTCCCTAGCACCAGGCTCCCTTACAATGGGCATGTGGTGAATGTTTGCTTGATAAGCCCAGGAATGTTTAAACACAGGGGCTGATGTGACAATCAGTGCTGCCTCATGCTGATTTAAAAAAATGGCCAATGTGAGAGTTCCGAGTTAAATTTTATTTGGAGCAAATGAGGACTGCAGCCTGGGAGACATGATTCAGATAGCTCTGAGAAAATTCTCCAAAGAGGCAGGGGAAGGTCAGAATATATGTGATCGTGGTGAAGGTGGAATACATGCATCAGCACAGATTTTTCTGAAGTTTTCTGCTAGTCGCAAGAAGCAGTCATCAGTATGAAGGATTTTAGTGCTTTTCTAGATATAAGGAGAAGGAAATGGCAACCCACTCCATACTGGAGTGGGTTGCCATTTCCTTCTCCAGGTGATCTTAACCCAGGGATCGAACCTGGGTCTCCTGCATTGCGGGCAGACATTTTACCATCTGAGCTACCACGGAAACCCTCAGATATAAGGAGACACAAGAACTGGGCTCATAAAATCAGCTCCTGAAAATACCTAACTATCTGAAGACCTGTCCTGCTAGTTTCTACCCCTCCTCCCCAACATCAGCACGGAGGGCCTCATTCCTGCTCTCCACCCTGAACTCCTTTCAGGGGGTGTTGAGAATCAGCAGCTGCAGCAGCACCTGATTTAATCCTCGTAGAGGTAGATGGCAAGTGCCCATGCAACTGACAATTTGCAGTTGATACTGGTGCAGAGTCATCACCCTGATCCTGGGTGAGGGAGGAGCTCAGGTGATGGAGGCAAATGGAACCAGAGGAAGGGGAGCAGGCCCAGCTCTGCAAGGAACCACTGACCCCTTGTCCAACCACACTTCCTGTGTTCATGGAGAACAGAAACATCCCAAACTACCTAGCCCAGAGCTTCCCCCAGAGAAGAGAAAGCACAGGATGCTGGCCCCATGTATCTGAGGTACATATCAAAGAATGATTTAAACAGGCCTTGATTTTGCATCTTTGAATACATAGAAAAGCACTACATTCTTTGACTTGAGATGTCTGGTTTTCTTTAATTAATGGCAATTTTTTGGTGTTTTGATTACCCGGTCTTTGTTTCAAAAACCCCTATATACCCTGGCTTCTCCCTTACCTCTTCAGAGAAGTCCCTCTGAGCTGTCTGAGATGCTGTGTCTCAGACTTAAGTTCTCAGTTTTGTCCACCATATAAAACACAATTCTCAACTTTAGGGTTGTGTAGTCTTTTCAGTTGACAGAGCTGCCGGTGTATCTCCACAGGAAAGGCATGGACTCTTGGTCGGGAGAGCTCACTGCCTACAAAGGGGACAGTGGTGGCCTTGAATTTAGTTCCCTGTCATCTTAATGGCCTGAGTGGGGGCTAGCAGCCCCTTTCAACCATGTTTGATGGGAATGGATGGGACCTGTCCCAGGAAGGCTGAAACCCCATTGCTTACCCACCCATCCCTTCCTCCCTTCCTTGTGATGAATGAGGCTGGGGTTCTACTACATGGGAAAGGGGTGGGACACCTGTGCTCCTGCCTGAAATATTGAAATACCAAACTCCACTGGCCCATAATGTAATCAAATGTTAAATTATGAAATGTCTCTGGGTTCAGCTCAGCGGCTGCTGAAAATGAATGGGTTTCAGTAATTCATGAGGCAGGCATGTCAGGAATAGCCACTGAGGGTGTTCTTACACGACTAGTGAACAGCTTCATTCGAAGTGAGAGGCCAGAGCTCCAGCCAGGTGCTGGGGGGGGTGGAGGGAAGTGAGCCATCTGGGGGCTGGATCATATCCTTTGTCTGCAAGCTGTGACTGCCTCTGGATACACAGCTGTGAGCACCAGGGATGGGAAGAATGGTAGTGGTCACTGACCCATGGGGTTCTGCTGGTTACTGTGGATGGACAACAATACACCCCTTAGCTTTGGGCATGAGCTGGGGAAGGTGGAGGGGCGAACTGCACCAGCACTATTAGTAAACTCTCTGGTCTGCAGCTCCCTCATAGCATGTTTAAACTGACATGCATGTTGGACTTGACCTCCTGCCTTATCCACTGATGACTTCTTGCCTTGGTCTGCTCCAGCTGATGTAACAAAAACACTGTAAGCTGTGGTGGGCCTGGTGGGGGTGCTTAAACCACAGATATTTATTTGTCAGTTCTGTAGGCTGGAGGTCCAAGATCAAGATGCCAACAGATGTGGTTCCTTGGCTTGCAAACCCACTTCTCGGCTTGGAGACTGCTGCCCACTTGCTGTGTCCTCATATGGTGGAGAGATAAATGGAGAGAGGGAGACAGAGATGGGGGTGGGGTGGGACTCTGGTGTCTCTTCTTATAAGGGCACTAATCCTGCCACGAGGGCCCCATCCTCATGACCTCAAACCTAATTATCTCACAAAGACTCCTTCTTCTAATATCAGTACACTGTGGGGAAAGTTTCAATATGAATTTGGGGGTATGCAGACTTTCAGTCAATAGCACCCCTCTCTTCCTGGGGATCCCTAGGACCTGCCATTGCCCAGATGACCCGGGTCCTCTATGGCTTTTGGATGTGAAAAATGAAAGTGAAAAGTTGCTCAGTCATGTCCGACTCTTTGCGACCCCATGGACTGTAGCCCACCAGGCTCCTCCAGCCATGGAATTTTCTAGGCAAGAGTACTGGAGTGGGTTGCCATTTACTCCTTATGTAACATCCTGCTTGTCCCTAGGCAAGCTTGGAACCAACTGAGACAGTGAAATGCAGGCAAGAGGAAAGTGAAGTAAACATCTCTTTATTATTGACTGAAGCTGGGGCTTGAAGTGAAGTAAAAGTGCTAGTTGCTCAGTTGTGCGCAACTCTTTGCAACCTCATGGCCTGTAGCCCAACATTCTCCTCTGTCCAAGGAATTCTCCAGGCAAGAATACTGGAGTGGTAGCCATTCCCTTTTCCAGGGGATTGTCTTGACCCAGGGACTGAACCTGGGTCTCCTGCATTACAGGCAGGTTCTTTACCATCTGAGCCATCAGCGAAACACTAGGGACTAGACCAGCAGACTCCATTTCTTTGCCTTTTCCAACTTCTAGAGGTCGCTTGCATTCCTGGGCTTGTGGACTGGCATTACCCTAGCCTCATGTTTCTGACTGCTCCCTCTTTCCATAAGGGCCCTTGCAATGACCTTGTGTCCACCCCGACACTCTAAGGTAATCCCTGCATCTCAAAGTCCATCATCATACCTGCCCTGTCCTTTAGACAGTTAAAGTCACATATCCACGGGTTCTGGTGATGAGGACGTGGACATCTTTGGGGGTCATTATTCTGTCCATTATTCCTGGTCATGGGGTGTGTAGCCACAAACAAAAAAAGGACACAGTCCCTGACTCCATGGACATGCATTTTAGGGTCAAACAGGTTTCTCTCCATGACATCTTTTCTGCAAGGGTAGGGTGTGGAGCAGTGCATATGTGAAAACAGTGTTCTCCCAGAGAATCTTCTGGAAGGATCGAAATGTCCTCCTTCTGCATGGCCAACACAGGAAGCCCCAGGACTTAAAATGTGGCCAGTGTGCCTGTGTTTTATCCCATTTCAATTGATGTACATGGGAGTGGAGATAGTGAGGGGTCCTGGACAGCACATCACATGAATGTCTCTCTGTGGCTCTCCCCTCACTCTGGGGGAGACCTAGTGAGCTCATTTCTCCAGGTCCACCTGTGCTTTAGTGTGGCCTATATCCCCCTGACATGTGCTGTCTGGCTGTGTCTGCCCCCTCTCAGTGCCTCCCTCCTTCCGGTTTCCCTGTTTGCTGAACCAAACACTTGTTTTTCTGACATTTTTCTCTGGATTCTTTCCTGCTGTAAGAAATATGAAATCAATAAGTCCTACATCTACCAAAACCATGGTTTAAACAAACCTTTTCCTCATCACCTTCCTGATTCAGAGGATGGCATTCTGGTATCTAATCCCTCTGGGCCAGCATCCTGTCAGGTGTGGTCTGAATAGACTCTCACCCTCCCTGCCCCCTCCTCCCAATACATGACTGTTTATTTAGTTTTAACTGGAGGATGATTGCTTTCCAATTTTGTGTTGCTGCCAAACATCAATATGAATCAGCTACAGGTATATATAAGTCCCTTTTAGGTTGTCATCAAGCACTGGGTTGAGATCCGTGCATCATACAGCAAATTCCCACTGGCTCTCTATTTTACATATGGTAATACATATGTTTCCATGCTACTCTCTCAAATCTTCAACTCTCTCCTTCCCCTACTGTATCCACAAATCTGTTCTCTATGTCTGCCTCTCCACTGCTGCCCTGAAAATAGGTTCATCAGCACCATCTTTCCAGATTCCAAATGTATGAGTTAATATACAATATTTTTATTTTTTTGGCTTACACTATTCTGTGTGATAGGCTCTAGGTTCATCCCCTTCGTTAGGACTGACTGAAATGTATTCTTTTTTATGACTGAGTAATATTCCATTCTATATATGTACCACAACTTCTTTATCTGTTCATCTGTCGGTCGATGGTACCCATCTATGCCGAGCACTGCTGCATGCTTTGCAAACACGAATCTGTTTAATCCTCAGTCAGTCTTACAATGTAGAGGTCACACCAGCCCGTTTTACAGATGGAGATGCTGAGGTACCGAGAGGTTGAGTGACTTAATCCCAGGCGCACAGTGGCAGGGGACAGAGCCAGGATTGGAACACAGGCAGTGACAGAGGTGTGTATGAACCCTCCCTGCCACGATGCTGCCTTTGCTGGGCTTCATTCTAGAGCTCTGATCGCTTAATTACTCTATCAGGGCACTGGCTGCACCAGCCCTGGCAGTGAGGTACTCCTTGGAAGTTTTCCCCCTGTTTTCTGTCCTGTAGGCTGTTGAGGGGTTCGTTCCTGTAGCTGTCACTGTTCTTAGAAGGGGAGGGGCCTGGTCACTTGCCTTAATGTTCACCTGCAGTTTCATTCCTGTCCAGGGTGTGGTGCTTCTTTGTGGGGGAGTCTCTACTTCTCACCTCTGAGGTTGGATTTTTCCAGCTGATAAGAATCCAAACATCTCCTTTCACCCCTTAAAGGGCTGCTCCTCCAGGATACAACTTTTCTTTTAATATTGACCTAACCTGGCCTAACTTTCTTCACTTTCCTCACTCCATTAAATGCAGTTAGATCTGAAAACTCTCATTCCACCTTCCCATTGGCCTGGCATGTGTCCTAAGAGCTCTGTCTTCCTTCCAGGGATTCCCCCCACATCTGCACCTGAACTTGCGTGTCTCCTCCTGTTACGTCTCCCTTCTTGCCTAGCTGCTGATTTGAGAGAGAGGGTCATCCTGAGGCGTCTTCTCAATCCCCCACTCCCTCCTTGGCTCCCTGAATGGAGCAAATCTGGGTGCAGAGGCAAGAAGTCGCAGCCGGGTGTGAGCCTCTGCCTAATTATCTTCCCCAGCCTTGGTTTGCAGCAAACCTATATCCCACTCTTCACAGGAGGGATGCTCACCTTCCCACTTAAAGTTCTCCTACATCTGCAGATGTGGAGACATCCAGGGACTCAGAAATCTAAAGCCATGCCTGGAACATATTTGACTAATAAATTTTGGTCTTTTGAGAGTGTCTGTAAGCGATGACTTGTAAAAGCTCCAGAGACTCAAGGTTAGTCCCCCTTTATCTCTCATTTAGCCTTGAAGCAATTAGAAAAAAATAATGAATCAAGGGGAAAGGAATTGGCCAGATGATCCGACCTGGTTCACTCCTCCAGGGGCATTGGCCAGCTAACACTCTGCAGGCAGAACACAGCTGCTCCTGCAGTTTCAGATCCTGGTTCTCTGGCCTGCCAGCCTGGCTGAGAGACACAGTTATAAAAGCAGCAAAAAAGAAGTCATATCATCACCTGATGCCTTAAAGACCTTATACCCCAAGATTCTCCATCATCAAAGCTGTGGCTGCACTGGGCTTGTTAAAAATGTCCCATCCTGCCTGCCGCAGCTGGGGCTTTCCAGGTGGCTCAGTGGTAAAGAATCTGCCCGCAGTGCAGGAGCTGCAGGAGGCATGGGTTTCATCCCTGAGTCAGGAGGATTCCCTGGAGGAGGGCATGGCAACCCACTCCAATATTCTTGCCTGTAGAATCCCATGGACAGAGGAGCCTGGCAGGCTACAGTCATAGGGTTGCAAAGAGTCAGTACTGAAGCCACTTAGTATGTATGCACCTGCAACAGCTAAGCTCTACAGCTGCTTAAAAAAAAAAAAAAATAGCCCCTGGCCTGTGGTTAAAGCCTCCATAAACTTCAGTGACCCACCAAGGTCAAGAGCCTGCAGAGCTCATGTCCTTAGACCTAGGGCCCAACGTGGCCCACCCAGGCTGCATAGGAACACCAATCATACCTTAAATTCTGGCTACATCAGCCTTGGTGTTTTCACAAAGTTAAGATCCCCAGGGGGTAATAGAAGTGAGGGCTCTGGCCGCCTGCTCAGATGGCTCTCAAACCTCCATCTCCATTCTATCTGATTTTCTTCCTAGTTTTTCATCCACTCCTGAAAATGTAACAGGGTGTAGAATTTGAGTGGTTGGACATAGGGCACACCCTCCCCTAGTTCTCTCCCCCAGCTCTGGAGAAGGACCCAAGAATCAAGCACATAGAGAGTGAAAGGAAATTGTCTTCATTTTTGGCAAGGCTGTTGGGGAGGAAGATCAAGATGCTTGTTGGAACCTACAGACACTGGCTATACCCAGGTCTGGCCACCTGAGTGTTTATCACATTGTGACAAGGGGCAGGATGTGCCACCTCGTCAGGGAGGGGCTGGGGCTCCTGTGTCCATGTCCTTCCCCTGTGCTGGGCTAATAATGCCCCCCTAGATGTCTGTGTATGCAAAGAGATTTTGCAGATGGGATTAAATTAAAGAACTTGAGACAGGAGATGATCCTAGAGTAGACAGGTGGGTCCCTGTTACCACAAGCATCCTCACAAGAGAGAGGAAGGAGGGTCAGATTTAAGGATGGTGATATGATGATGGAAACTGAGAGTGATGAGGCCATGGGCCAAGGAAGGCATGAAGCTTCCAGAAGCCAGAAAAAGCAGAGAAACTCTCTCCTTAGAGCCTCCAGCCATCAAATCCACTTTTCGTCTTCTGAACTCCAGAATTGTAAGATAATGATCTTTGCTGTTTTAAGCCATACTATTTGTAGTCATTTGTTTCAGCAGCAATAAGAAATTAAAACAAAGACTCCCCCACTAGCTGTCATTCCCCCATCAGCTAAACCGCTCTCCATCAGTTAAATCACTCCCCATCAGCTAAGTCCCTCCCCCTTGCCTGGCGAGGAGGGGAGGTGAAGAGCATTCAGGAAGGACACTTTAATTGGGTGCCTCCACATGGAGAAAAAATGAGTCATGGGGAGAATCACCTCCTGTCCTCACCATCCTGGGAGGATGGGTCTAATGTTTAAACGAGAGACACAGAGAGGCTCAGGAGTGTGTGGTTACTGGTTCAAGGCCACAGAGCTGAGCAAACCCAGTGAGGACCTGTGCTTGACACTCGGTTCTACCCTTTTCTATGGATTCAGATCCCATGCCCCTGAAGCCTTGGGGAGCAGAGCTCCTTGGGGGTTGGGGAAGAGAGCCAGGGAGACCCTTACTGCAAGGTCACTCTGGCTGGACAATGTGCTCTGAGCTTTGCGTCCAGATATTGACTGTCATTATTCATCCTAACCTATTTATGCCTCTTGATTGCATGAGTCAATTCACACCATAAGGACTTTTGCTGCCAAGTGAGCAGTGCATTTTGTTTTCCCATTTGGCAAGAAGAGCAGGACACAGAAACCAAGTTCAACTGGGTAGCCCCGAGTAACCCTGCTGGTCACCCTCCCCAGCCTGCTCCTGGGGCGCCCGCAGTGGCCCCTGGTCTGCCCGTGAATGGGCTTTGTACTTTGCTCAGCTGATGATGTCACCTCTGTTATTTTTGTCTATTTACTTATTCGACAGATATTTGATGAGTGCCTGTTGTTGGTGGTGGGGACGCACCATCAGCCAAACATGTTCCTGCCTTCACAGAGGTGATGGTCTTGTGTGCAGGGCCAGAAAGAGAGCAGGTGCTCACAGAACCAAACACACCCTTTAGTGTCATGACTGCTGTGAAGGGTGCAGGTTCAGAAACAGGTAGACCGGCATTTGAATCTCGCTCCAGCCCCTGGGAGCTACTGACTTCAGGAGTGTGGCTGGACCTACTTCGGCCATGCCTACTTCTTAGCATGTACAGCCTGGTAAGTTCTGCTCACGACCCACCTCGCCAGCAACTTCAGCCCTCTCTCCTCCTGTCTAATTATCTCTGTAACCCTGTCTGGATAGGATGTTGGCAGGGCCGGGTTTTGCTCTGTGGTTATTTAATGAGGTTCAGTATACAGAGTGGTTTGTAGAACAGGGAGCACTGAAGACCTCCATGGGTGGTCATCTCCACACCCACTTCTCTCCCAAGAGCAGAGCCTTTCCAACTTTACTGTACTTGGGAGTCACCTGGGATCTTGTCAAAATGCAGGTTCTGATTCCGTGGGTCTGAGGCGAGCTCGAGAATCTACATTTTTTTTTGACAGGCTCCAGGTTGATGCTGCCCTAGTTTAAGGACCTTACTTTGAGCAGCAAGGTCCTAGGGAGGCTAGTGTTGGAAATATCATGCCAGTTGAGGGTCGCATACTTCTTCTCTGTGACCCTGGGGCCACACGTAGTAGATGCTCAATTAATGTTGGCAGGATGTATGTGCAGGTAGCTATTTGATATGGGGACTGGCAGCTTGAATACTGTTTCTGAGGACAAAGTCCCCTGGTCAGGAGCATCCAGAGGCTCAGCATTTGTTCTGACTCTGTCTCTCCCTTGCAGAGCAGGTCAGGAAAATTCCTTGACTTTTCTAACAGATTTCTTTATCTTTAAGATGCTACTGCTCATCGCTGAGGGTTGCCATGGGGATGGGAAAGACAGTGGGCTAAGCAAGCGACTGAGGGTGTGATATCTCTTCTTCATGTATCAGCAATTTACCTTGAGTGCCCTAACCACTGCCTATCCTTACCCAGGCAATTCCAGATTCAGGAGTCACTTTGGAAGTCACCTCCACCCAGAAGCCCACCCTGATTCCCCCAGAGTGGATCATGAATCCTTCCTCTGTGCCCAACGGTAGTTTGTTATCACCCTTGCCCAGAATCTGGCCTCTTGCAGGCCTCTCAAGAGCATCTGTATCCTTACACCAAGCTCAGCTTCTGACATTTCAGAGATGCTCCCCAAATGAAGAATGGTAAAGGAATCAAGTCTAGGAGAGTTAAAAAAGAGAAGAAAAGGATATAGCCAGAATACCTGATGCTTTGGGGGTTCACCAAATAGCCCCCAGAAGAGAGGAAGCATATAACAGCTCAGTTTCAAAATTTAAAGGAGGGATGTGTTAAGAGATCTTCATGTTTCTTTCTGGTTTGACCTATTCACTTCTATGCAGGGCCACACTGGGACCTCAAAGACTGTTAAGAAATAGTGATTGAATTTTGGTTGAAGTGTTGATTTAGGGGAATCCAAACTTGTCAGAAGATGGCATCCTTCAATCCCTCCCAACACTATTATGAAGAAAAATGATCCTGACAACCTCCTATTCATCCTTCAAGACCCAACTGAAATGACTCCATCCCTCCACCCCCATACACAAGGCTCTCTGTGTTTCCCAGCCCCACTCAGGCCAAGATGAGTGCCCATATACCTGTGCTCCTCACCACATGGAAAGCCCCTGGAGAACAGACACTGGGTGTTTATCTTGAACTGGAGGCCTCTCCTAGGGTTTGGCTCACAATAGATCCTCGGTGATCTTTTGAACAAATGGATGTCATTTTGCGCTTTTCACATTCTACCTGCAGGGTACCAAATGGATCCCCTTCTCTTTATGCAGCTTCTGTTGATTAGATTTTAAAAGCTCCCATCCTGTCCCTCTGCCTGGAGCCTGTACACTCTTGGCCGTCACAGGGACAGGGCCAGCCCATCTAGAGTCAGTCCCCAGTGTCCCTCTAATGGGCTTGTGCGGAGGAGGCCTGGGGCGTGTAGTGGCCATTGATTTTCGTCTTTATGATTTAGGCTGCGATTGATTTTCTCAGGTGGAGGCTTTGCACTTAATGAAGTGAGGGCTGCTCTGCACCATCCAGACAGGGCCACGCGCAAGGACAATTACCCTTCTGGGTTACAGTGTCTCTCTGTAAAATATACACAATGAATGAAAATAGCTCAGCCAATGCGGGAGATGTGATGAGAAGTAGGTGGCGACGTTACAGTGGGCTGCTTGCAAATCCTGCTACCGGGGGATGGCATGGTTAAAAAGATTGTGTTATTATTATTATTTTGTAAAAGAGAGAAGTGAACAGTGTTGATGTGGAATGAGAGGATGAAATATTTAATTTAGCAAGAGATTATTTTAGATTTGTTTTCCTTCAAGAGCTGACCTAAACTGAGATTCCTTCATAGGAATTAAGGTACTTCCTGGAGAAGGTGGGGGTACTGAATAACTTCTCTCCTGTTCTGCGACTGCCCTCCCCTCTAGGCTCACCCCAGATGCCCTTAGGTGGGGTTCAGCCACTCTGGCCTGGCCTTTTATTAGACCTTCAAGTTGACATGTGATGTAAATAAATATTGTTCAATTCAGTTCAGTCACTCGGTTGTGTCCGACTCTTTGCGACCCCAAGGACTGCAGCACGCCAGGCTTCCCTGTCCATCCCCAACTTCTGGAGCTTACTCAAACTCATGTCCATTGAGTTGGTGATGCCATCCAACCATCTCATTCCTCTGTCATCCCCTTTTCCTCCTGCCTTCAACCTTTCCCAGAATCAGGGTCTTTTCCAAGACCCTGGGTCTTCCCCAGCATCAGGTTCTTTTCCAGGTTCTTCACATTAGTTGGTCAAAGTATTGGAGCTTCAACTTCAGCATCGGTTCTTCCAATGAATATTCCAATAAATATTGTTAGAATGATTCTTTTTCTAGAATATTGAGCAAACCAGCTCTCAGATTACTTGTATTTGATAAAGGATCCACGTCTTTTGGATGTGTTTTCTGTTTGAAGTTGGTCTCTAGGCCCATTTCTCTCAAGAAGCTCAGAGAGGGACCAGTTGTCTCTTTTTGAGGGGGTCATCCAGGCCTTAGAACTTAAAGTTTGCACCCCAGGGAACTCCTGAGTCTCAGGAGAAGCAGGGCAAGTTCAGTCCCCGAGACCTGGATTGGTTCCTGAGATACAGAGAAGGACAGAGAGGGAGGATGAAATGCAGGTCCCCCTCTGACATGGTAAGCACCTCCCAGCCCCCTGCCCCTGATCTGATCTGCAAAGATGGAAGAGCCAAGCCCCTCAGAATGTAAACACAAATTTTAAAGAACTTAGTTTTTATAGGACTATACTACTCAAGATGTACTTCCCTGGTAGCTCAACTGGTAAAGAATCTACCTGCAATGCAGGAGACCCTGGTTCAATTCCTGGGTCAAGAAGATCCCCTGGAAAAGGGATAGACTACCCACTCTAGTATTCCTGGGTTTTCCTGGTGGCTCAGATGGTAAAGAATCTGCTTGCAACATGGGAGACTTGGGTTTGATCCTTGGGTTGGGAAACTGCCCTGGAGGAGGGCATGACAACTCACTCCAGTATTCTTGCCTGGAGAATCCCATGGACAGAGGAGCTTGGTGGGCAACAGTCCATAGGGTTACAAAGAGTTGGACACAACTGAGTGACTAAGAATAGCATATGTTATTTAGGATGAAGAGAGCATGGCAGAAACTTAGAGTAGGGTTGTCCAAAGCTGAGCGTTTAAGCACCAAGAGCTCATTGAAGACTTCCAGATGGGCTCTGACCTTAGACTCGCAGCAGCCCCTGAAGGCATGATCACTGGAGCTGCTGAATCTAGTTCCACATTTTCTGGAAACAAGAGCCTTGCCCCAGGACAGCTGTCTGACCGCTGGGGCCACATAGGACCAGGCATCATCTTCTCTCCCACCCCCACCAAATGTCATCATAAGCATTTCAGGAGACCCACCTGCATGCAAGATCAGCACTTCAAACATGACCCCACGTCACCCTGACTTAGATGCTGAGAACTGCGCACCACAGCCCAGACTGAAGACAATCCCCATCGTATTTGTCTCATTTCCTCAGCAGCGTTACTAAGCAACTCTGTTGGAGCAGGGACCCCCAGATGCTACAGGCATAGCCCCCACCTGTGCCTGAGACCTGCTGGGAGAAGTGGCGAAGGGGCAGGTGTGGAGATTGTGAAGAGAGCAGGAGGGGAGGGCTGGGGCAGGAATGGGGACCTCAGACACCCCAGTAGACTTTGGTGAGAGGATGAGCAGACCAGGGCACCCAGGGTGAGGGACCTTGATGGATTCAAGGGTCTGGGGACCGCCTGGCACCTGGTGGGAGGTGAGTGTGCAGGAAGGTGAATTAGAGAGGCATGCAGGCCTCCAAATGGCAGAGAAAGCACTTTCTCACCCCGTTCAGCATTTGGTGTCCATGGCACTGACAGAGTAAACATGGAAAACAAGGGTGACTGACCTCTAGAGTGTGGAATTCCTAGGAAGCAGGGGCACTCTGGGGCTAAAATAGGAAAGTCCCAGCACATCAAGCTTATCCTGGTTCCCACGCCTGTGCCTCCTGCAATGCCTCCTGGCCAGGGGACCAAGCATCACCCTGCAACACTCAGGACGATGGGTAGTGCTCTTGGAACTGGGCAGAGGTCTGGGTGCCCTGGGCGGGGGCACCTAGGATACAACTGACTGTGAGTGTCACCCAGCCAAATGCAGGTCACACTCTTGGCCACTGGTGGGCTTGGCTTATGTCTTGGTTGTTTCCCACCACCCCTTTGTACCTACAATCTCATTCCTTTTCCACCAAAGGCTGAGATATTGACTCTGACTCTTACCTGCCATTCTTAAAGTGAGCATCCCCAGGGTGGAATGGCCTGGCAGTGCAGTCGACATGGCGCCAACTGAAGCCCTAATTAATGTTTGTTTTATGATGTTCCAGGGAATGGTCACTCGATAAGGTAATGCAATAGAATTTTTTAAAAGCACGTGTTCTGTTTAAAGAGCGGGGACTAAGAGACGCCTTGTAAAGCAGCTTGTTGGAAGGTGTTATTGTTAAGAAGTGATATTGCACTTCCTAAAATCTGTGTTGGTAATCACCTCATTAATTGTAAACAGGAGTGACTGGGCCCAGTTCCCACCTCTCAGAGCATGGGGTCAGAGAGAAGACAGCCCTTCGGGAGCAGATGCTCCAAGGAGCAAACTTCCCAGGGAGAGGCCGAAGGGGAAGCAGGGCCCTGGGAAGGGGGTGGGTGGGGGGTTCTGGGTTCTGGTTTGAAGTGTCAGAATCTCTGGAACAGAGCATTCCATGGGGGGAGAAGCTGAGGGAGCAGAGAGGTCCTGGGCTCTCCCTGAGGTTTCAGAGCAAGTATTGAAGTTTTGCAAGGCTGCTGTAACAAATAGCCCAGGCTTAGTCCTTTAAAGCAACACGCACTATTTGTGGTTAAGTCCAAAGTGGGCCTCACTGGTCCAAATCGTGGTGTTGGCCAGGCTGCCTTCATTCTGGAGGCTTCAGAGACAGTCGGTTTACCTGCATTTTCCAGCTTCTAGAGGCTCCCCATTCCTTGGTCCTTCCTCCTTCTCTGAAGCTAGGGGTGCATGGTGGAGTCTGTCACGCTGCCCTCCCTCTGGTTCTGATGCTTCTGCATCTTCCTTTCCCACTGAGGATCCTGGTGATGACATTGAGTCCACCCAGACGAGGCAGGACACCGTCCTCAGCTCCAGGCCAGCTGCTGAGCAGCCTTAATGCCAACTGCCTCCCTCATTCCCCTTTGCCCTGAAAACAGACCCAGTCACCTGTCCTGGGGATTATGACGTCACCATCTTTAGGGGACTGCTACTCTGCCTCCCACATTTTGCCTTAGGACATCACTGGCTTGCTTTAATTGATCTATTTTATCTATTTTATGAGAAAAGAGGCACAGAAACTACTGGCCTCTGGGGACTCGGAGATTTTGTTACAGAAACACCACTAATTTGGTGTCAGACCCTGGGGTGTGGTCCACTTGGCCTTTCTGAGGGCCAGGGTGCTGTCCTTTCAACAAGAATGGGGACACTTGTCCTGATGGCTGCACAGGGTCACTCCGGGGAAAAACAAAACAGGAAGTAGATGTGGCAAAACTTCAGAAAGTATCAGTGCTGTAAAACCAACTGAGAGGCACCCCTCCCTTCTGGCATCAAATAAATGTCATTCACTGTCCCCAGAGGCCAGGGTCAGCAGGAGTGTGGCCCCAGGTCTCTGGGACATTCTTTCCACCTGCCAGGCCCATCCCACCCCACAGCAGGCACAGGAGGGGCTAGAGGAGTTACCCTTTTGAAAAGAGCTGGCCTTCCCTCACTTGGGCCCTGGGGTGGATGGCAAGACTTGGTGCAGGCTTTTAGCCCTTTGACCAATGGACACTGGCCATGTGGGGTGCTTTCTGCAGAGGAGGCCACCACTTTGTCCATCACTCTAGTGGTTTTGCCTTTGAAATTCAAACCTGGGAGATGTCTTGGATGAGATCTTTTCTCCTCCTTTCTTATTTTTTAAATTATGAAAGTATGATAACTCATTTACAGGAGACTTGGAAAATACAGAATGAAGTTAGTTCCATATATATATATATATATATATATATATATATATATAAAGTTACAAGCAATATATAGTTCTACTGTATATGACAATTATTTTTAAGTAGATAAATAAAGATTTTTAGTTGAAGTTTCAATATCAAACTCTCAAAAATTAATAGAATGAATATACAGAAAAGTAGAAAGATATAGGAGACCTGAAAAGCACTATGAACTGATTCAACATAATTAAGATTTATGCAATTTTCACACAGCAGTAGGATACAAATTCTGTTCAAGTTCCCATAGACTATAAACTAGGAGACACTGGAACATATCCAGGGATGTAAAACAAGGTGCAAAAATTTTATTGTCTACAGGTATTAAAATCAGAGTCTGTTCTCTTATCACTGTGGAATTACGTTAAAAATCAATATCAAAAGATATTTGAAAATAACCTACATATTTTCAAGTGCAATGTGGCATTTACCAAGAGAGATCTGAGACTTAACCATGAAAAATTTGGATGAATTTTTAAAAAACTGTTTATTTTGTGTTGGATCATAGCCAATTAACAATGTTGTGATAGTTTCTGGTGAACAGAGAAGGGACTCAGCCATGCAAATGTGTGTTAGTTGCTCATTCATGTCGAACTCTCCGACCCCATAGGCTGTAGTCCACCAGTCTCCTCTGTCCATGGGATTCTCCAGGCAAGAATACTGGAGTGGGTTGCCATTTCCTTCTCCAGGGGATCCTCCTTACCCAGGGATCGAACCCAGGTCTCCCACACTGCAGGCGGATTCTTTACCATCTAAGCTATTCTCTGCCAAACTCCCCTCCCTTCCAGGCTGCCATGTGACATTGAACAGAGTTCCCTGTAGGTCCTTGTTGCTTATCCATTTTAAATATAGCAGTGTGTACATGTCCAAACTCCCTAATTATCCCTTGCCATTAATGAGTTTTGGCACACGCATGCCCTTGTGCAACTAATAGTGCATCACCATGACCCTGGAAGGTTCCTTCCAGCCCCTCCTAGTCAATTCCCTAGGTAGCCGGTGGTCAGAATGTTTTAAATCATGGATTCCATTCATCTAGTCTAGAACTTCAGGCCACTGGAGCCAGGCAATCTGTTCTCTTGTTCCTGGCCTCTGTCTTCCATCACCATTCTCTGGGTTTCTTCTCTGTTGTTGCCTGGACCCACAGTTCATCCCTCTATGCTGCTGTTTATTCCATCATATGAATGTGCTACAGTTTGTTTATCCATCCTCCAACTGATGGACTCCTGGACTCTTCCCAGTTTGGAGTTGTTCTCTATAAAGATGCAATGAGTGTGCTTGTAAAGAAAAGAAAATCCAGGCGCGTTCCTCAGTCCCCTGTGTTCTACCCACATGCTCCCTGACTCGTGAAGGAAGACTGATGCTACCAACAGAATGGCACCCTGGTGGCCACCCTAAGGGGAGGCCCTCATGCCAGAATGGCCCTGGTGCCAGCCACCCCTCTGCAGGTGGACAGGCGCATCCTCAGGGCGTCATGTTCCCGCCCTGGGGGCTCTGGGCACCTGTGCCCTTGTCCTGTCTCCTTCCCTTGGCTCCTGGGCCTCGCTTCGTATTTGCTTATATATTTATGAGCCCCAGAATTGCTGCTTCCGGCAGACTATTTACTTAACAATATAACAGTAATTGTAGGATAATTGTGCTGCAATGAAGGAACAGCCAGGGTCTGTGCAGTAAGTGGATAATAAAAACCAGGGTTTATGGGTTCTGCTAGTGGGAAGATTTATAGCCTTAATATTGCATTATGTAACTAATCATTTCTCATTCAGAATAGCCTGGGATTTGCAGAGACCCTCAGCCAGCTGATGTTTATTGGGGGATAGGAGGAAAGAATGAGCCCGCCTGGCTTCCCCCCTCCCCTCCCAGCTGAGATCTCTGGATTCAAACCTTCTCTTCAAGGAGGAAGAAAGTGATGAGCAAGAACCTCTATGTATCATCCCCTCCTCTGGGCCTCTGCCTCCCCATTTATAAGAGATGCTAGGACATCTAGACCCTTTTCCCACTGCAGCCCGTGGGAGTAGCACAAACTGGACCCCGACTTTCTCAAGCTCCCCACCAAGCCCTGGGTTTCTGCAAGGAGCTTTCTGTCCATAGAGATTGTTCTGAGCTGACAGGTTCCAGCTTGTCTCAAAGAGTGGTGTCAGAGCTGGGAGGCCTAGGAGGTGGGTAGGACAGCAGCGAGTCCTCCCTGCCAGGACCTTGCTGAGGGACCTGGCAAGGGTGGTCCGTGTCCTTTGTCTTCTTCCTTCCCCTGGGCATGGTCAGCTGGGTGAGTGAGCTGTCCCCAACCACATGGGTCCAAATTTACCCAGAGGAGATGGCCAGAGGCAGCTAACGTCGACTCCAAACCTGTTTGATTTGCACCAAGAAAAGACAATGGGGTGTCAGGTGGATGCTTTCCCGGGTGAGACAGGCTTCCCTGGGTCCCTGGTTCCAAAGGAAAAAGAGCTCCAGATAAAAAGCGACATTGGCCCTGGGGAGCAGGAGAGCAGTTCCTGGCGATGATGGGGGTACCTGTGCTGGGAATCTCCAAGGACATGGGAAATGGATAAACTCAAAGAAAATGTGCTTTTAAATCCATCTTATATATACTTGTTTGCATTTGTTATTCTTAAGCTCCCAGCCCTTCCCTCCCCCACCACTCCACTCTCTTGGCAATAAGTCTGTTCTCTCTGTTTCACAGATAGGGTCATTTGTATCGTATTTTAGATTCCACATATAAATTATCTGTTTACACTGTTGTTTAGTAGCTCAGTTGTGTCTGACTTTTCTATTTTTTTTTTATTTTTTTTTCCATTTATTTTTATTAGTTGGAGGCTAATTACATCATTACAGTAGTTTTTGTCATACATTGAAATGAATTAGCCATGGATTTACATGTATTCCCCATTCCAGTCCCCCCTCCCACCTCCCTCTCCACCCAATCCCTCTGGGTCTTCCCAGTGCACCAGGCCCGAGCACTTGTCTCATGCACCCAACCTGGGCTGGTGATCTGTTTCACCCTAGATAATATACATGTTTTGATGCTGTTCTCTTGAAACATCCCACCCTTGCCTTCTCCCAGAGTCCACAAGTCTGTTCTATACATCTGAGTCTCTTTTTCTGTTTTGCATATAGGGTTATCGTTACCATCTTTCTAAAGTCCATATATATGTGTTAGTATACTGTAATGGTCTTTATCTTTCTGGCTTACTTCGCTCTGTATAATGGGCTCCAGTTTCATCCATCTCATTAGAACTGATTCAAATGAATTCTTTTTAATGGCTGAGTAATATTCCATGGTGTATATGTACCACAGCTTCCTCATCCATTCGTCTGCTGATGGGCATCTGGGTTGCTTCCATGTCCTGGCTATTATAAACAGTGCTGCGATGAACATTGGGGTGCACATGTCTCTTTCAGATCTGGTTTCCTTGGTGTGTATGCCCAGAAGTGGGATTGCTGGGTCATATGGCAGTTCTATTTCCAGCTTTTTAAGAAATCTCCACACTGTTTTCCATTATACGCCAGTCAGGATGGCTGCTATCCAAAAGTCTACAAGCAATAAATGCTGGAGAGGGTGTGGAGAAAAGGGAACCCTCTTACACTGTTGGTGGGAATGCAAATTAGTACAGCCACTATGTGTCTGACTTTTTATGACCCCGTGGATGGTAGCCCTCCAGGCTCCTTCTGTCCATGGGATTTCCCAGGCAAGAATACTGGAATGGGTTGCCATTTCCTTCTCCAGGGGATCTTTCCAATTCAGGGATTGAACCTGAGTCTTCTGCTTGGCAGGCAGATTCTTTACCACTGAGACACTTTGGAAGATATAAATGATACCATATGATATATGTCTTTCTCTTTCTTATTTACCTCACTTAGTTTGATCATCTCTAGGTCCATCCACATTACTGCAAATGGCATAATTTCATTCTTCTTTTTTTTTTTTTTAGTGGCTGAGTAATATTCTGTTGTATATATGGACCACATCCTCTTTACCCAATGATCTGCTGATGGACATTTAGGTTGCTTCCATGTCTTGGCTGCTGCAAATAGTGCTGGTGTGAACATAGGGGTACATTTATCTCTTTGAATTTTAGTTCTACTTTATAGCATAGGGGGATTCCCTGGTGGCTCAGAGGGTAAAGAGTCTGCCCACAATGTGGGAGACCT